CCGCCTAGATTAGCCCAGGCTATCTGCGGGTTCGCGCTGTTACTATTGTCAAGCTTTTTTAAATTAATGTATATATATTTCTGTAAAATTGTAAATATGCGAGTCATAATAAAGTTGTTGCTGTTGACTGAAAAATTAGCTGTAATTTATTTTTCTTATTTTCTCAATAATTTTTTAGCTTCACTGTAAAAGTATCCGATCACAAACACACGTCTGAAACACAACAGTGTAGTTTTCAGGTCAGTCCCTGATCATCATTGACTTGCGTGTTTTACCAGTCAACGGTTCGTCTGTACTTTATTCAGGTTTATCTTTCCGACCGATCACTTTCTTCCTTTGCCGAACCATGTGAAAGTAAAGTTGTGGGAAGACTGCAATTGAAGCAAGATAAAGCGTTTTTAATACTCGTTGTTTTGCATTATGTTACTATATAGTACAGCAGAACCCCGCCTAATGGGGAGCTTAAGAAAGCCACGACGGCAACGGCAACGTCGCTAAACAAAAGGTTTAATGAGGAGAACGATGGCTGTGCGCATGCGTTATAATTCTTTGTACATTTCTTTGCCGTCCTCTGCAAAACAACAACGTGAAATGACCAAATTCTGCGTTGTTTGGAGAACGTGAACCACGATGGGTAGTTTTTAAATTCTTATTTCGTATTTATCGATATGTCCTAGATTCAGTTTCGTGATAGCTTTGTCAGTGATAAACCAAGTAAATGACTCTAGGGTACCGCGAGATTCGTAGGTAAACTATAAATTCATTTTTTTTTTTTATCGACGTTATCCTCGGCGTCGCCGTCGTGGTNAAATTAATGTGTATATATTTCTGTAAAATTGTAAATATGCGAGTCATAATAAAGTTGTTGTTGTTGACTGAAAAATTAGCTGTAATTTATTTTTCTTATTTTCTCAATAATTTCTTAGCTTCACTGTAAAAGTATCCGATCACAAACACACGTCTGAAACACAACAGTGTAGTTTTCCTGTCAGTCCCTGATTATCATTGACTTGCGTGTTTTACCAGTCAACAGTTCGTCTGTACTTTATTCAGGTTTGTCTTTCCGACCGATCACTTTCTTCCTTTGACGAACCATGTGAAAGTAAAGTTGCGGGAAGACTGCAATTGAAGCAAGATAAAGCGTTTTTAATACTCGTTGTTTTACATTATGTTACTATATAGTACAGCAGAACCCCGCCTAATAGGTAGCTTAAGAAGCCACGACGGCAACGGCAACGTCGCTAAACAAAAGGTTTAATGAGGAGAACAATGCAAAACAACGTGAAATGACCAAATTCTGCGTTGTCTGGAGAACGTGAACCACGACGGCTAGTTTTTAAATTCTTATTTCGAGTTTATCGATGTGTCCTAGATTCAGTTTTGTGATAGCTTTGTCAGTGATAAACCAAGTAAATGACTCTAGGGTACCGCGAGATTCGTAGGTAAACTATAAATTCATTTTTTTATCGACGTTGTCCTCGGCGTGGCCGTCGTGGTTTCTTAAGCTCCCCATTGCCACTCGTTAATACGGTGACGGGGTTAGGGGGTTTAAGAAACCAGGACGCGACGCCCACTGCGGTGGGGGGGACTCCCAGAAAAGTTGGGTTGGGCCCCTACTAGGGGTGTGCGGCCCACTTCCCAAAACCCTTACCCTATTTATGACCAAAATCTGCGATTTTTGCTACCCTATTTATGACCTGGCCGAAAATACGATAGCCTATTTATGACCGTTGCAGCTGACACAGTGCCCTAATCATAAGTTATGAAGAGCTTTTTTCGACGGTCTTAGTGATAATGATGAAAAAGAAGCTTCTATGANCGGAAAGCTCTGCTAACTGCAAAGTTAGAACTGATAGACCCAGCTATAATTTCTATAATTATAAAATAGAAAACATTTCTGCGCTTCCATTCAGTTGTAGAAACACGAGTGGAAGTTTGTGAGAACGAGAAACGCAAGTAGCACGAGTAGCAGGAGAGTGTTGTCACAGCTTTTTCGAGTTTTCTCAAACTTTCACAAGAGTTTTTGTAACTCAATAGAATCACAAAGAAGAAAAGAAAATGTTCCTCTTTTTGAAAACTCTGCTACAAAAAGGGAAATCACTTAATATGTATTTAAATTATCAAAATGTTTATTATATTTTTTTGCCCATATCGTCATCATGTTATCACAGCTCAGTTAAATGGGTCAAAACGCCCCAAGATGAAACAACCCAAACAAGCAGTCCCTCAAGAGTGTGCAGAAAATAATTATTTAAAAAACAACTTCCTGCAATTACAATAAATGGCACACAATGCATGCAGAAGCGATGACATTTAACTGCCATTTCTAAAATTCTGTCGAGCAGTGTTCCAGATAAGTGTGGGGTCTCAGGTCAAAAACCCTACAAGGTCACCTTCATGACCCGCCAAATTAATAGAAAATTTATAATGATTTGGTGGGAGCACAGGGAAATGAACCATTCAAATTTTCTTGTTGAAACTTATCTGGAACCCTGATCTAGCCCCTGGGTCATATGAAGGTTTGAACATAATCCAAAGTTTGATTGGGTTCTACAGATGACAATATATTTATGTACTAGGTGTGGACACATCAAAATTTGGTTAGAACTACTCCACATAATATTACACATCCCGAAAGACTACAATCACAGAAGCTGGTCAGCTAGTTACCTGCACCACTGAATAATGTATGGCAGTCTGTCAAGCAGGGAAAATGCATAGAAAGAGTAACGGGTGACTTCTGTAATGGACCAAGCTAACACAAATGCAGCTACACCAGGATTGTCTTGAACCTAAACAAAATTATAATAAATAAACAGAGACAGGAAATCATATAATTTTTATGTAGAGGCTTCATAACACTGCTACTACAAGAATGTTTTTTGTTTACCAGTGGAATATGTTATCACCAGACTGTACCGCATGAAAAGGACACATGTCCACTCCTTCCCTCTGTGTTGCTGCACAATTTTGGTCTGAGCCCCCACCCCCATCCCACTGAAATTCCCACTTACACTGTAATACCTTCACACTTTCAGGCTTTATTATTATACTTTTTGCTTTTAAACTCCCTCACCCTTGAACTTTCTTAGGGCACATATGTATATTCCTGGAACTGCCTTGCCTACAGATTAGAATGCTTCACTGAACCACACAGGATATGTTTGTACTCACTTGAGGTACACTATGCATAATCGCCCAGGTTAAAAAGAGTCTTGAAGCTACTTGAAATGCTGTTAAAACAACTGAAGAAGGCACTAGACCTGAAAAAGTTGGTTGGAATGAATGTTTTAAATCACTTTAAAAAAAAAACATTACAGAAAAATTTGACTTGTACTACATTCATACTACTGTGTAACCCCATTAATGCAGTCTCCCATGGCCAGGGCCACAAAAATCTGCCCATATTCACTGGGTGGCTGTATGAAAGGGGTTCTTTAAATAAGAGAATGCCTCACTGAGCTTTAGTTAAGGCCAGAATAAAGTGGCCGTAATAATGAGGTGGCAGTATGAATAGAGTGGCCCTCCTTAAGGGGATGTTCCAAAACATGTCTAGAGTAGACATGCTTTATGAGAAACGTAGTAACCTTAGAAAGCCCAGCCTGTCTTCCTGTTGAGTTTGCCTAAAAAGTGCGTCTAGTAAAGCAGAACCAAGGCCAGGCTTTCAATTCAGTATGTTAGTGCAACTGCTGAAATCCTAAGTGTGTACCATGTAAACCAGGCACAAAATGATACCTACCTACAGCACAGTGAAATACCTAGAAAGTAAGCAGTAAATAATTATGTTAGCTACTGTCTTGTAATTATGTTTACAACTAAAGCCAGTAGTAGTAAATTTGAATAATTTATAAATCACTAAAACATATACAGTTCAACTCTTATTAAATGGCCACCCTCGGGAAATGGATAGTGGCCACCTAAAAGGGGTTGGCTGTTTATAACAGAGGTAAAAACAATAGAGAAGCCCTCATCGGGACTTTGACTACTGGCCGCCTAAAAGGGGTGGCCATTTCATAGGTGACTGCTTAATAGGGGTTCTACTGTATTATTGCTCTGAGCATGGAATGAAAAACCTAGTTAAATCTAAAGATAACTTAGACTTGGGTTGTTGAAATGTAAGTCATCAACAACAGTGCTTTTTAGCTCTAGCCAACATCACATTACCAAGTGAATACAACATGGCAAACTACAGATAAACCCAGGTTCAAACCATTTACCATTAATTCTAAAACATTTGTTGTAACTCCTAACTCAGTAGAACAGAATACAAAACTATTGTTATTAGTTACGAAAAACTACTCCTCGCAGAAGTGCTCAGGTGCAAGACTGTAAGAATACAATTCAATGCTGTACATGAAATTGGTTAATAAACTATATATGAGAGAAATGTTAGTAATGTGGTTAAATAATGAAATAATGCACATCAAGTTAACTGTAGGTACTGCGATGTAAACCAAATAGTGATGTTCAAATGTAAGTAATATTACTGACAAAAAGTAATGTAAACAATTTTAAAGTACTGTAGTAATTAAAGCAATATATGAGATGGATGTTGTAAGTACTAGTAGAGCAGGAAACCAATAAAGTTCATATATATCTGTATAAAAAAAAAA